CACTGGTGTCACAATAGCGTGCATTTAAAAAACAAAAAACTTTTTTCACTGTAATAGATTGAATAGCAGTTAGTTGTCTCCAAGCGTCTGTGTGTCAGGCCTACAACGTGTACTCTGCCAACCTTTGCCAGTTCAAAGTGGCACTCTTATCTGGTGTCACAATAGCTTGCATTTAAAAAAAATTTTTTTTCACTATAATAGATTGAATAGCAGTTAGTTGTCTGCCAGCTTGTTTGTCATGCTCACAGAGGATACTGTGCCCACTTGCCCAGTGCCAGCACTCATTCACTGGTGTCACAATAGCTTGCATTTAAAAAAAAATGTATTTCACTGTAATAGATTGAATAGCAGTTAGTTGTCTGCAAGCGTCTGTGTGTGAGGCTCGCAGCGTATACTGTGCCCACTTGTCCAGTGCAACCACTCACTCACTGGTGTCACAATAGCTTGCATTTAAAAAAAAATAGTTTTCACTGTAATAGATTGAATAGCAGTTAGTTGTCTGCAAGCGACTGTGTATCAGGCTCGCAGCGTATACTGTGCCCACTTGCCCAGTGCCACCAGTCACTCACTGGTGTCACAATAGCTTGCATTTAAAAATAAATGTATTTCACTGTAATAGATTGAATAGCAGTTAATTGTCTGCCAGCTTCTGTGTCAGGCTCACAGTGGATACTGTGCCCACTTGCCCAGTGCCATCACTCACTCACTGGTGTCACAGTAGCTTGCATTTAAAAAAAAATGTATTTCACTGTAATAGATTGAATAGCAGTTAGTTGTCTGCAAGCGCCTGTGTGTCAGGCTCGCAGCATATACTGTGCCCACTTACCCAGTGCCACCACTCACTCACTGGTGTCACAATAGCGTGCATTTAAAAAACAAAAAACTTTTTTCACTGTTATAGATTGAATAGCAGTTAGTTGTCTCCAAGCGTGTGTGTGTCAGGCCTACAACGTATACTCTACCAACCTTTGCCAGTTCAAAGTGCCACTCATATCTGGTGTCACAATAGCGTGCATTTAAAAACAAAAAAACTTTTTTCACTGTTATAGATTGAATAGCAGTTAGTTGTCTTCAAGCAGGTGTGTCAGGCCTACAGCGTGTACTCTGCCAGTTCACAGTGCCACTCAAATCTGGTGTCATAATAGCTTGCATTTAAAACCAAAAAACTTTTTTCACTGTTATAGATTGAATAGCAGTTAGTTGTCTTCAAGTGGGTGTGTCAGGCCTACAGCGTGTACTCTGCCAACCTCTGCCAGTTCACAGTGCCACTCATATCTGGTGTCACAGTAGCTTGCACGCATAGTACCACTAATCGAAAAAAAATGACAGGCAGAGGCAGGCCACCCCGCAGGGGCCGTCGTGGTCGTGGTGCTGTGATTCCCTTTTGCCCTAGAATAATGCCCAGTTTTCAGAGGCCAGGTACTCTGAACTTGAAAAGTGCTGAGGACATAGTTGACTGGCTAACACAGGACACCCAATCTTCTACAGCTTCCGCTCGGAACCTTGACGCAACATCCTCCTCCAGCTTAGCTTCGGGCACCTCTCAAGATACCACTCACCCGCCTGCCACCACCACCAACACTAGCACCACAGCCGCTTCACTTGGTATGTCAGAGGAGTTATTTACACATCCGTTTGAAGAAATGAGTGATGCTCATCCATTATTGACAAAGGATGTAGATAACAGGGATATGTCTAAGTCAGGCAGCATTACACATGTACAGTGTAATGATGATGATGTTGTACCCGCTGCTGCTTCCTTTGCGGAGTTGTCAGATACAAGTGAAGCGGTTGATGATGATGATGCGTCCATGGATGTCACGTGGTTGCCCGCTCGGCAAGAAGAAGAACAGGACGAAAGTTCAGATGGGGAGACAGAGAGGAGGAGGAGACGAGTTGGAAGCAGGGGGAGGTCGTCACAAGGAGCTAATGGCACAGTCAGACAGCATGCATCGGCACCCGGGGTCAGCCCGACATCACGCCAATCAACGCATGCTTTGTCCACCACCAGAATGCCGTCATTGCAGAACTTTTTTTTTGTGTGTCTGCCTCTGACAACAGCGATGCCATTTTTAATCTGTGCCAAAAGAAAGTGAGTCATGGGAAGTCCAACACCCACCTAGGTACAACTGCTTTGCGAAGGCATATGATCGCACATCACAAACGCCTGTGGGATCAACACATGAGTACAAGCAGCACACAAACTCAAAGCCGCCATCCTCCTCCTGGTCCAGCATCTTCAGCCACGTCAACCACTGCTGTCCTCCTTGCCCCCTCTCAACCATCCGTCACTCCGTCTCTCGCCTTGAGCAGTTCCTGCTCATCTGCCCACAGTCATGTGTCTGTCAAGGACATGTTTGAGAGCAAGAAGCCAATGTCAAAAAGTCACCCCCTTGCCTGGCGTCTGACAGCTGGCTTGTCTGCACTATTAGCCCGCCAGCTTTTACCATACAAGCTGGTGGAGTCTGAGGCGTTCAAAAAATTGGTAGCTATCGGAACACCGCAGTGGAAGGTACCCGGACAAAATTTCTTTTCACAAAAGGCAATCCCCAACCTGTACTCGATTGTGCAAAAGGAAGTAATGGCATGCCTGGCACACAGTGTTGGGGCAAGGGTCCATCTGACCACTGATACCTGGTCTGCAAAGCATGGTCAGGGCAGGTATATAACCTACACTGTGCATTGGGTAAACCTGCTGACGGCTGCCAAGCATGGAAAGCGTGGCTCTGCAGAGGAGTTGGTGACATCGCCACGACTTGCAGGCAGGCTTGCTGCCACCTCCTCTACTCCTCCTACTCCATCCTCTTCCATAACCTCCTCGGCTGAGTCCTCTTCTGCTGGTGCGTCTTGCTCCACATCAACGGCACCCCCCAGCTCCCCAGGTACTATTCCACATCCCGGATACGGCAGTGTAATGCCGTCTTGGGTTTGACTTGCTTGAAAGCAGAGAGTCACACCAGACAAGCACTCCTGTCCGCCCTGAACGCACAGGTGGAAAAGTGGCTGACTGCGCATCAACTGGATATCGGCAAAGTGGTTTGTGACAACGGAACAAATTTGTTGGCGGCATTGAAGTTGGGCAAGTTGACACATGTGCCGTGCATGGCACATGTGTGTAATCTGATCGTACAACGCTTTGTGCATAAGTACACAGGCTTACAGGATGTCCTGAAGCAGGCCAGGAAGGTGTGTGGCCATTTCAGGCGTTCCATGGCCATGGCGCACTTTGCCGATATCCAGCGGCAAAACAACATGCCAGTGAGGCGCTTGATTTGCGACACCCCGACACGTTGGAATTCAACACTCCTAATGTTCGACCGCCTGCTCCAACAAGAAAAAGCTGTTAATGAATATTTGTATGACCGGGGTGCTAGGACAGCCTCTGGGGAGCTGGGAATTTTTTTGCCACGTTACTGGACGCTCATGCGCAATGCCTGTAGGCTCATGCGTCCTTTTGAGGAGGTGACAAACCTAATCAGTCGCACCGAAGGCACCATCAGCGACATCATACCAATTGTTTTCTTCCTGGAGCGTGCCCTACGAAGAGTGCTGGATCAGGCTGTAGATGAGCGTGAAGAGGAAGAGTTGTGGTCACCATCACCACCAGAAACAGCCTTATCATCATCGCTTGCTGGACCTGCGGCAACGCTGGAAGAGGATTGTGAGGAAGAGGAGTCAGAGGAGGAATGTGGCTTTGAGGAGGAGGAGTAAGACCAACCACAACAGGCATCCCAGGGTGCTCGTTGTCACCTATCTGGTACCCGCGGTGTTGTAATGCGGGCTGATATCGAGAACGACCTGTACTGGGTGTCCACGCTACTAGACCCCTGGTATAATCAGAAAGTGGCTGAAATGTTACCAAATTACAACAAGTCGGAAAGGATGCAGCATTTGCAAAATAAATTAAAAAGTATGCTTTACACAGCGTATAAGGGTGATGTCACAGCACAACGGGAATCTAACAGGGGAAGAGGTGAAAGTAATCCTTCCACGACCACGCCGGCAAGGACAGGACGCTTTACAGACGTGTTGTTGATGGAGGACATGCAGAGCTTTTTAAGCCCTACGAATCGCCACAGCCCTTCGGGATCCACCCTCAGAGAACGACCGACAGGTAGCAGACTACCTCGCCTTAACTGCAGATATCGACACTCTGAGGAGCGATTAACCCCTTCACTACTGGGTGTGCAGGCTTGACCTGTGGCTTGAGCTATCCCAATTTGTGATAGAACTTCTGGCCTGCCCCGCTTCAAGTGTCCTGTCAGAAAGGACCTTCAGTGCAGCAGGAGGTATTGTCACTGAGAAGAGAAGTCGCCTAGGTCAAAAAAGTCTAGATTACCTCACCTTTATTAAGATGAATGATATTATTTTAGCTCTGAATGCCGGTTGACTTGCGTGACTTATCTGCCACCAACTAGGGTTCAAGCTGCAATGTTTTACGGCAGTGCTCCCCAACCTTTTTATCGCCGCGGACCGGTAAACGTTTGATAATTTTTTCCGTGGCCCGCTTGTTTTGATTTAATAATTTTAATTTAATTGTATTTAAACATGCCTTCAAAATAAAATACAGCTACACCAAAAAATGAATATAAAGTGATTTATTTTATTTAACTCACTAGAATGCCAAATCAATGAGAACCCTGAGCTTGTTTCTTCGCAACGAGACGGTTCCATCTGGGGGTAATAGGAGACAATGACACCCGAAGTGTGTTGCTTATGTCCAGTTTATTCCGCTGTTTTGTTTTGGTTGCTGTCACTGCAGAAAACCCCGCTTCACACAGATAGGTTGTGGAAATGGCAATAGGGATTTAAGTGCTGTGGTGGCAATCTCAGGGTATTCCGCCATGACTTTAATCCAGAACACCGGCAGAGTTGTTGTCTCGAACATAGTTTTAAGGCCACCGTCATTTGCAATCTCCAGCAGTTGTTCTTCTTCTTGCATAGACATGCTAGATTCGCCTGATTTGTTGGCAAATGGGTCGCAGATCCATTCCTTACCAGTTCGTGGGTCTTTTGTGGTTGTGAAGTAGTGCTCAAACTCTTTTAGTTTGAGCGCTACTTCACAACCACAAAAGACCCACGAACTGGTAAGGAATGATCGTGCACCAACTGGCAGAGTGAATGTTCAAGCTCAGTCTCGCCTAAAATCCCTGCTAATGTCTGAAACATGTCCAAAATGCCTCTGTTCACGCGCCGTCCCCACAAGTCCAGTTTGGCTTTAAATGCAGCTACTTTGTCTGACAACTTGAAAACAGTTGTCATTTTCCCCTGGAGGCCAGATTGAGTTCGGCCAATGGCGTGGGGTTTGCCTTATGGCCAATCAGGAAGCGGGAGGACCCAGGAGGAGGATCAGTGTAACAATAGGGAATTTTCATTCGCTATTGTCACACAATGGGCGGGCTCGGGAGGGCGCAATGCTCTGCGCTTTGGCCGCCACAGTGAAATTAAAGTTCCTCGGGCGGCCCGGTACCGTTTGATCCACGTACCGGTCCGCGGCCCAAGGGTTAGGGAACACTGTTTTAGGGCACTTTCTGCCTGGGAAACAAACATTAATTCTTCTGGCCGCTGCTACAGCAGCGGCTGCAACAATACCTAATTTTTCAGGCATGTGTACATGCCTAATTTTTCGGGCCTCTGGTGCTGCACTGTGGTTTCAAAAACCAAACCAAAAAAAAGGCACATAACAGGGATTAAACTGATAAGAATAATACTACTTAACACACCTTATAATAACGCAGAGAGAGGCAACGCAGAGAGAGGAGTCTGAAGAAGAGGAGTCAGAGGAGGAAGGTGGCTTTGAGGAGGTGGAAGACCAAACACAGCAGGCGTCCCAGGGGGCTTGTTGTCACCTTTCGGGGACCCTTGGTGTTGTACGTGGCTGGGTGGAGGAAGAGACCTTCAATGACAATAGTGAGGACAAGGAACGGGACATGGCTAGCTTGGTATCCAACCTTGTGCAAATGAGGAGTTTGCGCTTGTGCAAATGGACTGTTTGCGGTTGTTTGCGGTGCGTTAAACAGGGAGTTTGGTCTGTCACTGTGAAGCGGCGTAACCCTTACACTACCTGATTGATACAACATCATACAGTAGGTCCCCCCCCTCATTATTTTTATGGCCCCCACCCACCGCTCACGGGTGGGGGCAGGCGGGAGGACAGTAGGTCCACCCTCATTGAGATTTATGGCCCCCACCCACCGTGCAGGGGTGGGGGCCGGGGGGGAGGACAGTAGGTCCCCCCTTATCCTTATTTACTGAATATTCCCCTGTATAACAATGTTTGGCATTTAGTGAATATTCCCTATTCTGCTCTGTGTCAGTGTGTATCATGGATCCTTAGGATAGGTGTCAATCCATATCTGCCAAGTGACCCTATGTAGGGGAACAGTCCCTATTCTGCTCTGTGTCAGTGTGTATCAGGGATCTTAAGATAGGTGTCAATCCATATCTGCCAAGTGACCGTATGTAGGGGGAACAGTCCCTATTCTGCTCTGTGTCAGTGTGTATCAGGGATCCTGAGGATAGGTGTCAATCCATATCTGCCAAGTGACCCTATGTAGGGGGAACAGTCCCTATTCTGCTCTGTGTCAGTGTGTATCAGGGATCCTGAGGATAGGTGTCAATCCATATCTGCCAAGTGACACTATGTAGGGGGAACAGTCCCTATTCTGCTCTGTGTCAGTGTGTATCAGGGATCCTGAGGATAGGGGTTTATCCATATCTGCCAAGTGACCCTATGTAGGGGGAACATTCCCTATTCTGCTCTGTGTCAGTGTGTATCAGGGATCCTGAGGATAGGTGTCAATACATATCTGCCAAGTGACCCTATGTAGGGGGAACAGTCCCTATTCTGCTCTGTGTCAGTGTGTATCAGGGATCCTGAGGATAGGTGTCAATCCATATCTGCCAAGTGACACTATGTAGGGGGAACAGTCACTATTCTGCTCTGTGTCAGTGTGTATCAGGGATCCTTAGGACAGGTGTCAATCCATATCTGCCAAGTGACCCTATGTAGGGGGAACAGTCTCTATTCTGCTCTGTGTAAGTGTGTATCATGGTCTCTGAGGACAGGTGTCAATCCATATCTGCCAAGTGACCCTATGTAGGGGGAACAGTCTCTATTCTGCTCTGTGTCAGTGTGTATCATGGTTTCTGAGGACAGGTGTCAATCCATACCTGCCAAGTGACACTATGTAGGGGGAACAGTCCATATTCTGCTCTGTGTCAATATGTCATATGTCAGGTATCAATCCATATCCATTGTGATTTAGGAATGTTAGGTGATTTCTGCCCTTTATGGATTAAGACCAGACTCTGCATCGGTGTCAATCCATATCTGCCAAGTGACCCTATGTAGGGGGAACAGTCCCTATTCTGCTCTGTGTCAGTGTGTATCAGGGATCCTGAGGATAGGTGTCAACCATATCTGCCAAGTGACCCTATGTAGGGGGAACAGTCACTATTCTGGTCTGTGTCAGTGTGTATCAGGGTCTCTGAGGACAGGTGTCAATCCATATGTCAAGGTGTCAATATGTCATATGTCAGGTGTCAATCCATATCCATTGTGATTTAGGAATGTTAGGTGATTTATGCCCTTTATGGATTAGGACCAGACTCTGCATCAACTGTGTAATTTTCCATGGGAGTTTTGCCATGGATCCCCCTCCGGCATGCCACAGTTCAGGTGTTAGTCCCCTTGAAACAACTTTTCCATCACTATTGTGGCCAGAAAGAGTCCCTGTGTGTTTTAAAATTCACCTGCCCATTGAAGTCTATGGAGGTTCGCCCGGTTCGCCGGTTCGCAAACATTTGCGGAAGTTCGCGTTTGCCGTTCACGAACCGAAAATTACGTGTTCGCGACATAACTAATCATCACTAATCTTAGCCATAATTTTATATAGTTAGTAAGAGATCCTCTATTTTTTTTTTCAATTTGACAATTTTTATTTTATCAGTGTACAAATTTGGGGTACAGAAAAGAAAAAAGGGAGGGTATGCAGTTGAGGTACATCGCTCTAAGACACATCTTATACATTCAGGAGCAAGGCTGGATATTCAACTTTGTGGGAGTGCCTCCCATACCCATTGTGACCATGGTCGTGCTCCTTGTCCGGTTTGTCTGAGCCTCATAACCGCGTGTTTAATGTGGGGTGGGGGAAGGGGGAAACAGGGGATCAGGCAGCGGGATTAGAGAGGGGGAAACAGGCCGCAAAAGCTCCATGTCGCCCCGTATCTCCGTCTTGGTCAACATTCTTTGCGTGGCTCCCGCCTCTTATCCCCTGGGTAACTATTTACAGTGTGGGTGGTTGTTCCGCATGTGCCCATTGACTTATTTGTCCTCAGCTGAGTTTACCTCAATGTCTGTTTTCGTACCTTGGTGGTAGGACTTGTGGCCTCTCTGCGCCTGAGCAGTTAGGTAGTAGGCGTGGTACTATTCATTCTTCGTGTATATATGTATACAGTATTTTTTTTTCTCTTTTTCTCCACTCCTCTCTCGTTAGTGTTCTAACCCCCCCCCCCTCTTCCTTCCTCAGGTATGCCTCCCATATGTTCCTGGCATCCCTTATGTGGTGTGATGGGTGCATCAGCTGGCTAGTCTTCGTTTCATATGTTAGGTTTAGGGAGATCTGTTGGATAAGGCTAGATCTCTCTGGTGTCTTTGGTTGTTTAAACCCTCTGGCTATTAATAGGTTGGCAGCTATCAGTATATGATATGTTAGGCCGGCATGTGCTTTTGGGAGTGGGTCAAGAGATATGAAAAGTAGGGCAGTTTCTGGTCTCAGATTGGTTCCTGTGTCCAATGCCCCTTTTATCACTCCTCCAACTACCTTCCAGTATACCCTGATGGTCGCGCATGTCCACCAGATGTGGAACATTGTGCCCTCCTCTTGTAAACATCTCCAGCAGAGCCGCGAGGTGTTGGGATATATGGTTGCCATTCTGGTTGGCACCAAATACCATCTATATTGGATCTTGCGCATTAGCTCTAGGTGGGATGCGCATCTGGATCTGCCTTTATGGGCTATAAAAGCCTGGTTCCATTGTTCTTCTGAGAAGATTGTATTTAAATCCCTATGCCATGCCTCTCTGAATTTGTCTAGCTGCGGTGGCGTCTGTTGAGTTGGGTTATTGAGTATTGCATACATAAGTGATAGCGGTTTCTTGGGCATTGTCCTAGATTCACATGCTTTCTCTATATGTTGCGTGTATGTCTGGGTTGTCAGGACAGTGGAGTCCGTCAGTATTCCTTTTAGTTGTAGGTAGGAAAATATAGCTCTTTGCGGTAAATCGTAATTGTGTTGTAAGTCGGGGAATTGTCTCAGTTTCCCTTGATTATAGAGGTGTCTAACTAACGTGCAACCTCGCTCGGCCCATATGCGGTGGTCAAATGTGGGATTTGCCAAGTGTACGCAGTACATTGGTGTGTCCAGCGCCCATTTATCTGTGTAACCTAACTGTGGTTTGATCGTATCCCAATTTTTTAGTAGGATTGTTGTGGTAACGGGTGTGTCTGGGGATATAGGGCGGTGCTCATGCGGAACCCAGAATAAGTATCTAAGGCCCTTGGGGCAGGCCCACGTTGATTCCATCTCCACCCACTGTGGTGGGTTGTGGGCTGTATGCGCCTGTAGGGCGGTGGTCATTAGTGCAGCCCTATAATATGTTTTCACCTCAGGTAGGCCTAGCCCTCCCTGCGCTAGGGGTTTGGAGAGTATGCGTGTAGCCACTCTGACTTTCTTGTATGCCCACACGAAACTAGTGAGAGATATTTGTAGGCGTTTCAAGTACGTGTTGGGGATAGGGATCTGTAACGTTCTAGTGAGGTATTGGAATTTTGGCAGCAGCATCATCTTCACCGCTGCCAGTCTTCCCACCCAGGACATAAACTTGCTATCCCAGTTCTTTAAGGTGTCATTAAATTCATCTAGTAACCTCCCATAGTTTAGATGTAAGAGTTTCTTGGGGTCTTTTGGGATCCTCAGTCCCAAGAAAGTGAGGTGGTCATCCCTCCAGTCTAGCGGGAATGAGTTTTGTAAATTTTCTACTGTTTCGCGTGGTATCCCGATCCCCATTGCTTGCATTTTTGTTACGTTAAGCTTGTAGTATGATTGTTCCCCATATATTTCTATTTCCCTCAACAGGTTTGGGAGCGACAGGTGTGGTTGTGTTAGTGTCAGCAGGATGTCATCCGCGAAAAGGTTTGCTTTATATTCCCTTCTCCCTATCTCTAGGCTGTGTATTGCGGGGTTTTCTCTAATTTTAATTGCTATCGGCTCCAGCGCCAACACATAGAGCAGCGGGGACAGGGGGCATCCCTGCTTCGTGCCGTTTGTGAGTCGGAACGGCTCCGACAGGAACCCCGCGTTCAACACTCGTGCTGCAGGCTGGCTGTATAGGGCACTAAAGGCTGCCACAAAGCCATAGAGGATGTCAAACCCACCTAATACCTCTTGGAGGAACCCACAGTGTAAGCGATCAAAAGCTTTTTCGGTGTCGAGGGAGACCAGTAGTCCCCCCCAACGCCGGCTTTGCAGGTAGTGGAGGATGTTAATAACTTTCCTAGTGTTGTCCGACCCCTGTCTCCCCTTTATGAAGCCCACCTGGTCATCATGTATTATGAACGGGAGGATTGCACTTAGTCTGTTGGCATATAATTTGGCGTACAGTTTTGCGTCTGTGTTGAGAAGGGAGATCGGTCGGAAATTCTGTGGGATCGTCGGGGTTTTGTTAGGTTTTGGGAGCGTAACGATGTGAGCCGCTAGTGTTTCTTTGGGGAGTTCCCCCTTTTGAGTTGCCTCTGTAAATAATCTGGCTAAGTATGGTGCAAGTGTGGTGTTGAATTTCTTGTAGTATTGATTATCAAATCCATCTGGTCCTGGGGATTTCCCTGGTGGGAGGCCTTTAATTAACTCCTGAACTTCTAGAACTGTTATTGGTTTTGTAAGGTCTAGCTGCTGTTGTGGTGTGATCTTAGGTAGTTTCACTCCATCCAAGTACTCTCTAATGCTTGTGTTTGTCGGATGTCTGACCTGTGCGTCTTGTTGAATGTTATAGAGTGTTGAGTAGTATGTAGCGAATACCTCGCTTATGTCTTTTGGGGTTCGTATTTGTGTTCCTGCTTGGTCCGTGACGTAGGATATTTTTTGGTGTGCCTGTCTAGATTTTATCCTTTGTGCTAACAATTTGCTTGCCTTATTCCTTTGCACGTAATGGTTTATCTTGAGCTTCTGCATGTGTGTGTTGAGTGTCTCAAGTGCGTGTTGGTGCATAAGATGTGTGATCTGGGTTATCTTGTGTCTTGTCTCTGGGGTTGGGGTGTGTTGGTTGAGTCTGTTTAGGTTATATAGCTCTGCCTGCCATGTTCTGAGTTGTGCCTGGTGTGTCCTTTTCACATAGGCTGCACTTCTGATCAGTAGGCCCCTTGCTACTGTTTTGTGCACTAGCCATAAGGTGGAGTCTGAGACATCCCCTGTGTCATTGTTTTCGAAGTATGTTTGGAGGTCTTCCGTTAGAGTCTTTGCATATCCCCCGTCCCTCAACAGTGAACTGTTTATTTTCCACGGACTGCGGTGCTTAAAGTCGTAGACATTTTTTAATTCTATAGTTACTGGTGCGTCGTCTGACCACGTGATCTGCTGTATGTCACTATCTACTAATTGGTCTAGTGCCGGGCCCGCTAGAAGAAACCCATCTATTTTAGAGTAAGAATTGTGCACCGCTGAAAAGTGGGTATAAGCCCTTTCTGTAGGGTGCGTGACTCTCCAGGCATCATAGAAATATTGGTCATGGAGTAGTTTTGCTATGGCTCTACATTGTCTCTTCAGGGGGCGGTGATGCTTGCTACGTGCATGTAGGGTGGTGTCTGTCAGCGGGCCGAAGATATGGTTGAAGTCCCCTCCTATGATCGTGATGCCCTTTTGGGTTTTGGCTGTCTGAGTTAAAATTTTGTGCAAAAAGTTCCTTTGATTGGTATTTGGGGAGTACATATTCACAATGGTATATAGCATATCGTTAAACAATCCTACGAGTATGATATATCTACCAGTGAGATCTACGTCTACAGTCTGCAGTGTGAATGAGACTGTTTTGCTGATGAGGATGGATACTCCTCTGGCTTTAGTGGGTGCCATGGCATGGAACTGGTGTGGAAAGTCTTTGGTTAATATTGCTGGGTGGTCGTTGTGCCTAAAATGAGTTTCCTGGAGGCATAATATGTCTACTCCCATAGGTCTAACCTCTCTGGTGAGAAGATGGCGTTTTACCGGGGCATTGAGGCCCCTAACATTAAAGGTGCAAAGCTTCACGGTGGTCTGTGAGGTTGGTGTCTCTCGTACCTATGGAACTGGTCAATGTATGTGAGGGTCGCTGCCCTCCCCAGCTCTATCGAGCGGAGCAGTGAATCCCTCTGTATGTTCGCTATTATGCTAGTGTGCCCGCGGAACAGTCAGAGAATCGGTTGTCATTAGGTAATTGAAATATCTCTGTGGTGGCTGGGGTCGGGTCACCCACTAACCCTTTCCCTGCCTCGTGAGTGCAGTATTGAACTGGTAATGTACATGCAATACACAAAACAACATATAACATAACATTAACATTAACAAAAGTATTTACAAGGGTATTTCTAAGAAGTTTTCGTGCCATTAATTCGGCATGGCACTGCGTTGTCGTGCCTTGGGGGTAGAGGCTGAAGGCCTCATGTCCTATGGGAGCTTTCTCCCTTTACAGCTATTACTTTGTGTTTGTTGGGATGTCCCAACTAGTATCCATAGCCCTGCTAGTCGAGCTGCGGTATTTTTTATGCTTATGCAATTTTGAGCTATCCAATTGCGTCAGACTTGTTTTTTTTTTGTTTGTTTTTTTTATTTTTTATATTTGTTTATTTTTTTTTCCACAAGCTAGGTGTAGGTGTATGTTGACGTGTGGCTGCCCCACCGGCAAGCTATCTGTCCGTGGGTGGATGTGTCTGGCTGAAAATATTCACCTCTATGTGGATGGTGGCAGGTTTTTTTTTTTTTTTACTATGTGGGCAGTGATTATGTGGATCCCAAGCTCGTATAATAAAGTGAGCCCCCCCACCCACCCCAAGGCCCCATCGTGAGCATTACAATTACCCAGTGTATTTGGTGTATCATTTTACGTTACCCTGCCCCTGGGTTGATAGTCCATCACCCTGTGATGCCGTAAGGCCTGCACACAGTCTCGTATGATTTATCTCCGCTTCGCCTTCTTCCAGTCCGGTGAGGCTCTGTTGCCGCTTCTCTCCTGCTCAGCCGTCGGTGTGGGTGCGATGTTCCAGTCCCTTAGGATGCGGTGACCTTCCTCCGGGGATCCAATGGTCGTAGTCCTCCCGTCCCGCATCACCAGGAGCTTGGTGGGGTATCCCCATCGGTATGGGAGGTGGTTGTCTCGGAGTTGAATGGTTATATCCCTGAAGTCGCGCCGTCTCTTTAAGGTGTATGAGGAGATGTCTGAGTAGATGGTTGTTCCTCTATATGCTACAGGCATTTCCTTCCGTTTTCTGTTTGCATTCAAGATAACTTCTTTAGCATGAAAGTAATGCATTCTGAGCAGGGTATCTCTCGGTGTATCTGGGGGTAAGAATTTAGGTCCTCCTGCAGTCCTATGGATCCTGTCTAGCAGGAGCAGGTCCAGCGGTAAGTCCAGAGCAAGTTCTTTTAGTAGGCCCGTGACATGGGCGTTAAGGTCTTCATTTTTAACAGTTTCTGGTATCCCCCTTATACAGAGGTTGTTGCGGCTTGCTCTGTCTTCCATATCCGCTATTTTAAGGTCTTGGTCGTTTAATCGTGCGACCAGACCTTCTACGGTTTCTGCAAGTGCGTTGTGGGCCTCTGCCATTTCTGTGATTTATTCCTCCGCCCGCGCTGTGCGCTGGCCTATATCTTGGAGTTCTTTTCTCAGGACTGTCATAGCGCTGTCCATTTTCCCCACTATTTTATCGGACATTTCGTCCAGTAGTTTCCTGAGAGAGCTATGTGTCAGCGGATTGTCATATTCCCCTTGCTGGGTGTCCGCGTCATGCTCCTCACCTGCGCCATCTTGGGCCTGCTCAGCCTGCTGTGGAGTTTTCCCCTATCCCGTCCTGGAGGCGAAGAAGTTAGTTTTTTCTCCCCTGTCCCCTGCTCGTTTGCCTTTGGGGTGAGACATTGTGGATCCGGGCTGGTCCCAATTGCTCTTATCGGGCTTTAGTTGCACCTTTGTAGCTGTCGCGGCACGGAGCTCTGTTTACATGGAGATCCTCTATTTAACATATATAAATAATTGAGAATACAATATAAAATAAGGATTGTCTTGGAAGCAATAGAGTTTTGTCTTTTTGGATATTTATTATATAAAAATATAAATATAAAAATCCATTATAGCAGAGTTTATAAGATTAAACTAAATGCTTGCAAATATCATTAATAGGTTAACATATCACTGTTTTATAAAACTTTTCTTATATAGTGGACATTAGCATCCAGAATGCAGTAATGCAATAATAAAAAATCCTGTCTGTTGCATGAATGTTTTAATTAAGCCATAATGCAATTTTCTTTGCATTCTTTGAATTAGACTTCAAATTTCATCGCTCTGTCTTATCACTTTTCTTTTGACAACATTTTGCATTAATCTTTTTCCTGCGCATGCATATTAAGCAGCTACAAAGAGAACATATCCCCCTGTCTGCAATCCACTGTCCTGGAACTAATGGGCCATGCTGTGCTGGTGTATTAGGCATATCAGGGAGTTTACCAAATATGTATATTTGTTCTCTTATGATATTAAGATCCACAATTTCAGCATTGTATGCTAATTACGATGTACCTGCACCTGAACTCAAAGTGCTTTGTTCACATTAAAATCATATCTAATGATGAAGATCTCTCTCTGAGTCTGGGCTACAAATAGCTCAATAGATTCTTGATATTTCAAGACTTGTGCCATGACAAAGTATTGTGTCTTCTCTTACGTATAAGAGGTTACCTAGGTATTTATAATTTTATTGTTAAAGCTTCCAAGTACAAAGTCCCTTCGTGGTCGCCAATTGTAACCGCAGGTGGTTCCCTTATTTACCACTATAATGTCTTAAAACATAGAACTTAGTAGGGCTAACCATACAGATATCTTAGCCATAATTTTATATAGTTAGTAAGAGATCCTCTATTTAACATATATAAATAATTGAGAATACAATATAAAATAATGATTGTCTTGGAAGCAATAGAGTTTTGTCTTTTTGGATATTTATTATATAAAAATATAAATATAAAAATCCATTATAGCAGAGTTTATAAGATTAAACTAAATGCTTGCAAATATCATTAATAGGTTAACATACCCTTCTGAACATGTCATCATGTCAGCCTCTCTGTCATTTTAAGACAGAAGTGTCTGTCTCCAAGTCTCTCCTCTGTGTCTTAACATTTAAAAGTACGCTTATTTATACCTTGGGTGTCGTCATTTTAGAGTTACCATAGTTCATATATGAAAAAGTACCACTTCTTTTACTTTATTCATTTTAGGACCTCCCTTAACTTGGCAAACATACAAGACCATAACTAAAGGGTGCATACGTCATGGACATTTTCCTGACTTAGTTCAAGATGGCATCTTAAAGTCTGAATAACTTATCTGTCGTGGGAGATTCTTGGATTTGGGGACGTTCCATTAACTTGGGGTTACCACAGTATATTGTGTACTGAGTCGTAAGAGTCGTAGCATAGCCTTGAAACTTGTTTATGCATTGTTGTTATTGTAATTCGTCTGGGACAAAATGGCGCAAACATATTATGCACTGAGGTTATTGCTTAAAGAAATAGTTATGAAAAACAATATGTTCCATTTCTAACACCTTGTCCGTTTGCAATATCTCTTAAAGACAAAGTACACAGTTTAAGAAATACAACATTTCATTCTAAAACTTGTAATATTTGCATTTGCCCATAACAGTTTTTTTCAACAAATTTTTCTTTTAGGAAGTCTGCTTGTATATCGAAGTCTCTTAATTCTGAGCAATTTCTCCTAAGTCTAAGTATTTGGCTTTTCGGAGCGCTGTATAACCAGGGTTGGTAGTGACAGCTATTTTTATCAATAGCAGTGTTTACACATACTGTTTTAAAAAACGTCTTTGTGTGTACTTTTCCATTTTTTGTAAAAAATATTAAGATCTAAAAAATGTATTTGTTCTCTGCTATATTCGTAAGTGAGGATTATACCTCTATTGTTTAAATTGAGATTGGTGATAAAAGAGTTGAGTGCTTCTTCAGTACCATCCCAAATAAAAAAAGATCATCAATATATCTAAAAGAGGAGACCAAGTTTGCTCTCCACGCATGATTGCTAAAAATGGCTTCTGACTCCCAGTCGGCCATAAATAAATTTGCATAGCTGGAAGCAAACCTGGTCCCCACAGCAATGCCTCTTTTTTGAAGATAAAATGAATTTAAAAACCAAAAATAGTTATTTTTTAAGATAATATTAATACCTTCTAAAATAAAATCTATTTGTTGACCAGCAATTGTCCCTTCTTTTGTTAAAATATCTTTTACAGCTTGACAGCCTATATCATGAGGTATGATGGTATATAGTGACTGAACATCGCATGTCACTAATATAAAACTAGATTTCCATATACAATTATTTAAAAAATTTAAAAGGGCCATGGAATCTTGGAGGTATGATCTCATGAGTCTGACTGAAGGCTGTAAAAGAAGATCTATATATTGCGAAAGATTGCATAGGAGAGAACCTATGCCAGATACAATTGGTCTTCCAGGCGGTGAAGTTTTATTTTTATGAATTTTCGGGAGGAAGTATATTACAGGTGTTACAGGAAATTGATTGTTTAAAAAAATTAAATTCATGTTTATTTAAAATGCCTAGATTTACACCTTTTTTTAAAATTGGATTAAAACATTTTGAATTTGTTTAATAGGGTCTGATATGAGTTTTTCATACACATTTACATCATTTAATTGTCTGTGTGCCTCATCTATATAAATTTGGGTTGATTGAATGACTATCCCTCCGCCCTTGTCTGCTGGTTTAATGACAATATTTTCGTCATTTTGAAGTTCTTTTAGTGCCAGTTTTTCTAAATGTGTTAGGTTGTGGGGGTCATATTTTTTTTTTTTTTTTTTTTCGAGATCTTTTGTAACTAGTTTTTCAAACATAGTGAGGGGAGCAGATTTAAAATGAGCAGGATAAAAAGTAGATTTCTCTCTGAGCGAAGTATTAATTATGTTATTGTTCCGAGAGGATATTGACGGGGTTAAAATTGCATTTTGGGTAGAATTTCAGTTTTCTCCATAAAAAATCTTTTGAGAGTAGCTTTCCGAACAAATTTGTTAACATCTATAAAAACTTCAAAATATTTAAAAGTATTAGTCTTTCTCTTTTGTTCGCGTCTGCCACTTCTTCTTCCTCTAAATTTAAAATCCTTTTTTTCGGGCGTGAGGGGTCAGGTGTTTGGGCTAGTGTGGTGTGGTGGGTTCGAATTTCTAAAAAGTGATCTTCATTTTCGAATTCAGAATCTAGTGACAATAATTGAAATCTGTTAGGGTGATTCGGAATCGTGGGTGACTTGGAGTAGTTTGAATATTCTTTATGGTCATTAATATATTTTGATCTTTGTGGTTTGGGGGCCAAGTGTTTATATTGAGGTCCTGATGTGTTATGATATGTTGGTGAGGTATCGTGATGGCTACTGTATGAATTATATCGATTACGTTGCGAAAATGAACGGTATTGGTGAGTGTTGTAGTGGTTTGATTGCTGTGGGGGACCACAAGAGTGATTGCTAGGTGCCCTATGTGTGTACGTGTTCTGTGGTGAGTGTGGCGGTTTTTTATATTCTGATATTGATGTGACTGGTGTTATAGAATATTGCCTCTCTGGATTTTCATAAGGTTTTTGTTCACGATAAATATTGGTTCTCGTAGGATTATTTTTTTGAACTGGATATTGGGAAGTATATTTTTTATTTAAATGGTAAGTTCTGACCTGCTTGTTTGAGTAATCCGTTTTGTCTCTAATGTATTTTTTTATTTTTATATGTTTTGTTTCGATTTGGACTTTTTCGATTTTACTTTGAATTAGAATGGAGTTTTGTTTGTATGCCTGTGTTTCTGTAGATGGTAGGAGTTTGTCTCGAATGTCATTAATTTCTACATCTAAAACAGACAGTTTTTTACTTTTTTTTATTATTAAAGTTTCCATGAGACCTAAAGTGCAAAGTTCCACCTTATTATTACACTCTTCCATAAATTCTAAGTCGTCTTGGTCTGAGGTGGGTAATTTAAGTAGTCGTAAGCCGCGAGGGGTAGTTTATGTATAAATCTGATATTTCAGCCCCCCCACCTTTTTTTTTTTTTTAAACTGGAGCTTCTAGTTGAATTAGGTTGCCTTTCATTATACATGTGAATGTTGACCATAATGTTTCATTAGAAATGTTGCCTTTGTCGTTAAGTTCTATGAACACCTTAGCCAATAATTCTAGGCGGTCTCCATTCTCTTTATTAGGTAAAGTTCTTTCATCTATTCTCCACTGATAGTTGGTTTTATAGGCCAAATCATTTTTAGTTTTGACTCCTATTGGAGCATGGTCAGACCATGTAATAGGACCTATATTTGAATTTGTGAAATTATTTAAATTTACTGAATCAGTCAAAAAATAATAATCTATTCGAGAATAGCTGTTATGAATTTTAGAATAAAAAGTAGAATCTTTTTCACTAGGGTGCTGGACTCTCCATATATCAAAGAGATCGTATTGATTAAGGATATCTTGAAACCATTCAGCCCTTGTTTTAGAGACTTTCATCCTTTTACAAACTGTATCTGATTTTCTGTCCCATTTATCATTTAAAACAGTATTCCAGTCTCCCCCTATAAGGGGTATACCTTTTTTTTATTTTATCAATCTTGCTACATAACTTTTGATAGAACTTCTGCGAGAACTCATTTGGGGCATAAACATTTCCTAGAGTGTATATCCTATCATTTAGTTTACATATTTCTATCTGTAACGGATCACCTGGCACCCCGACTGGGTACCTCCGTTAAAGGATGCTCCTAGCGCTTCCTGAGGACTCCAAGCACTGCAGCAGACACCACAACCACCGAACCGGAGAAGCATATGAATCCTCCCAAGCATATGAATGCTGTAGACAGTTGAATAGGAACCATACGAATAGGTTTACACTCCTAGCAGTCAAACTGGAACAGCATACAATATATCCTTCCCCCAATAATGAGACGACACTTCACTTTGAGGGTTAAGCAGGAACTCCTGTACTGTCACATACAGTCTCTTTTATTCCCAATCCACAAACATAGTACAGCCCACAGGGCGTTACAAAACAACCAATCACATCACGGTTACATCCCACATATTCCCTCCCCTTATCCTGAGAGGAAACTCAATTATACATACAGTTAAAACATACTTTCT